AGGCGGAGGCTAGGGCGGAACAAGGCGACGATGCGAACAACAATGTTCGGCAGCGTCCTGGAGGGGAGCTTCTGAGTGAATTCGGGCCTGTTCTGCCGTATCATATTCGCGATGTCGATCAGTGCGACAGGCCCGTTGTCGCAAGTCGCAATGAACCGCTGGCCTCTGGCCTCCTTGCTCGTCATGGCGCGAATGTGAAGGTCGGCGAGATCCCGCACATCGACCACCCCGAATGAGACGTGCGGACACCCGGGCGTGTTCCCCGTCATCATGGCCTGGATGATTGAGATGGATGACGAGAAGTCGGAGCTCAAGATGGGTCCGAATATACCGGTGGGGTTGAGGACGGTGAGCTCGAGCTCGCCACCGTCCCTCTCGATGAAGTCCCAGGCAGCTTTCTCCGCCAAGGTTTTGCTCTTGTGGTATGCGGGTACGGAAATCTTGCCATCCAGGATCGACCAGTTCTCCTCCGTGAATACTGGTAGTTCTTCGTAGCCGTAGCCGATGGCGGCGAAGGACGACGTGACAATGACTCGTTTGATACCGGAATCGCGGGCAATCTTGAGGATCCGAAGTGTTCCCTCTCGAGCCGGCCGGATGATGTCGTCTTCATCTTTTGGCATGGACGAGGGGAACGGCGAAGCGACGTGGTGAACGTACATACAGCCTTGCATCGCTTTCGCCCAGTTGTCGTCTTTCATCAGATCGGCAACAAAGAAAGACAGCCGGTCTTGCGCACCGGTATCCAAGCCTGCATTTCGCAGGCTCTCACGGACATGTTCCTCGCGGGCGGGAGTGCGGATAGATGTTCGTACGGTATGGCCGGCACCGAGAAGCTGAAGGATCAAATGTGAGGCAACATAGCCGGAACCGCCAGTGACAAAAATACACTCGGTACTGGAGGCTTGATTGTTACCCTGTGTCATGTTGAAAGGGCCTTGTGTGAAGTGCTGATAGCCTGGAAACTACTACGCCTTTGCTACGGCTACAAACCGCTTCTTAAATATTTCAGAAGGAAACATCACTCTCCTTTCTACTAACATCAATACGGCTAGCCGATGACAGTACTACGTTTAGAATTTCTCGTGATCTTGCATCATTTGCCCACCCTGCAACTTGCCGGTAGTGTCAGTCCAGAAACCATAGATTGTGTCACAGCATGGTGGACAGGTCTGTTGATGACAGTGAGCTAGCCTGAAAGGGCTGGGTGCATGGTTGAAAATCGTGTTATGGGTCTGCCTACTAGGCAAGGTAAGGTATGACTTACAATCCGGCACTCCGAGTAGACAATGTGGGTCAATTGGTTTAAGTGAGCAGATAACGTGGAAGCAACACTGCACGCAGGCCGCATTGAACATCCCTGAGTGACATCTTGATCTTCCCGAATGTATGCGCCAACCTTTGTGTGTCGGATGCGTGTTGCAGAATGGTAACCAATACCTAGGTCATTGAACCCTACAAAACTACCGATGCCACTTCGCCCATTCACCCTGCGGAAAACTGGCAGGTTTCCGGCTCTCGTTAATTACCTCTGCAGCTTGAGGTATGGTCAAGTCCTGGACACTGATATAGTAGTGGCCTTAAAGCGCTTTTTTCCATTAATATCTATTCAGTTATCAATCACTCGATGGTACCTCAGCGGAAGAATGAAGCGTTTGCGATAGTAGCTAGACTCTGAGTCCCAGATATAGTGTTCAAGCTAATAAATCATGACTTCCAACCTAGTACTCAACTCCCCATCAAACCGCCGACGACTCAACCTCCACAGTCTTCTTCTCGTTGGGCTCCTCCGACTCAGCTTTGTCTTCGTCGAACGAGCCGGCCGAGATGACATCGCTGTCCTCGTATATGGTAGCCGGAATGATGGTCTCGGGCGCCGGGAAGAAGTGCGAGAGACCGGCATACACGAGGAAAGCGCTGCTGTAGCCCCAGAAGTAAAACATGTAGTACAGCTTCTCGGCGCCACCGATGTGAGGGAGGATCGATGGGTTGACCGAGGACGCCCTAGTAATTTACCATGTTAGCAGACCAGACCTTTCTGTGATTTGTCATTTGCAAGGGGAAATGTTTCTTACATTCCGGGCATGCTGGGGACGACGCTGACGAGGAATGCCACGGCCGCACGCCAGTTGATGCCGTACTTGTTGTACCTGTACCGTCCGTGAGCCCGGTATAGCCCGGGGACGTCGAGGTGTCTCTTGTGAGTGATCCAGTAGTCCGCACCCAAGATAGCGGCGATGGGAGCGAGGAAGGTACCGAGACCACCCATGAAGGCAAGCAGAGATGCGGCCGAGTAGACGATCTTCCACGGCTGCATGATCCAAGCCGCCGTGACGGTCGCGATAATGACTCCTCGCCTGATGTTGATGTACTTGGGGAAGAGGCAGCAGATGTCGTTGGCGCAACTGATGACGTTGGCTGAGAGGTTGGTACCGATCTGCGCCACCACCCAGGTGAGTCCGACGAAGAAGGCGCCGCATCTTCCGGCTGGGCCATCCCATTGCGCTGCGATGTCAAGAGGATCCCAGATGTACCTCCCATAGACCACTTTGGAAGCCGAGCAGCAGATGATGCCAAAAAGTCCGAGCATCAGCTGGATACCAGGAAGGAAGAGAACCTGCCAGTACACCCCCTTGTCGCTCTTGAGATATCGAGTAAAATCGGGAATGTTTGTTGCCATCGTCGCCCTTATCACGACTCGTTAGTTACATCTATAAGTAGGTGACAGACCGTGTGTGAAGCTTACCAGCCTCCGGTAATGCTCGAGAGCGATGAGAGAATAAGCCACGACCGAGCGGTGCCATTGACTCCATAGGGCAGATTCCACAGGTCACCCGCACCCCCAGCCTTGGAAGTCATGGTGATAACAACTGCTACCGAGCAAGTGATGACGAGAACTGGTAACGGGGGAACACAATGATCAGCCATGGCAAGCTCTCATGGCTACAGAGGCGGGAGGAAACTTACCGCACTTGGCAACAAAAAACCACTTGAGCTTGTGCGGGGGGATCAACAGAATGGGGAACTGAACCAGCCAGAAGATAAGATGGCTGACCATTCCCTGCGTAGTGATACCAACGCTCTCTGGGATATGGTTGGGGATGTCGAGGTAGGATGGCCAGATGGATCGGATGATCTGAGTCATGGCTGTGGAGCCGGTATACGTCTGGATGGCATGCCAGAAGAGGGCGGTGATGGCGCGGGTGACGACGGCGAACCTCGAGAAGTGCCACCCGAACGAAGCGCGCATGGCAACAGGGAAGGGGATGTGGAGGCGAGCGCCGATGATACCGTTGAGGACGAGGGGCACCGTGCAAACCAAGCTGCCGAAGATGATGGCAACCACAGCCTCACGCCTAGTTACATTACTTGTTAGGGTCAAGAGACACAGTGTTGCAATGAGGTGAAGTCATACCATGTCAGGCCCACGGCAATGATCGAGGCCGGAGCCATCCAACTCTGAGCATTGAGAGCATCAGAAAACCAGTATCCGAACATGGTCCAAGCTGACCATGTCCTACGCTCGACTGGGGTTACATCGCAGTCGATGTTGGTCCATGACCCTTCATCGGCGAAGGAAGTGGTCTGGCGTGGAAGAACCCATCCCGATAACTTTCTCTTGGACTTAAGATCGGCCCTGATGGATGTAGCCTTCTCCTGGAAGAAGGCTGTCATGTTGGAGCTATGAGGCTCTCCGTCGCGGAGGTATCACTTGTGGTAGTCGAGAGCTGAGACTGTATGTCGCGGTGAAAGACTGGTTGACCAGGATGAGACCATGTGAACAGTGAGCTGGTCGGTATGGCGCATCAGCCTTATTATATGGCTATGCTACTCGGGTAGAGAAGCTGGTTGATGCAGGCCTCCCAGTGCCATGGGTCGCTAAAGCGGTGCAACACATGGTTGCCAAGCTTACCGATAGCGGGGAGCCAGGCCTGAGAATGACCGCCGGTCGACCGCAGGGCTACCGAGATCCGGGGAACCAAAGGCGGACCTAGCACGCGAAATCTCTGCTACTGCCGGGTCGAGTACCATCGTGTACGGCTGAGCTTGGTATCTTGTACTAGAGTCTAGCCCGCTTCGACCGGAGGCTATAGAGGGTATCTACCGTTGTTAGTGATGCATGGTCGGAGTTTTGATTGGGTATCGCGATGACCTGTGCATCCAGGGTGGCTCTGATCTGATTCGCTGATCGAGCGCCACCAAAGAAGGCTTTCCTGCTTCAGTCGAGATACCAGAAGTCCAAGAGATGGTGGTGGCCATGGTAGATTGGTAGTGAGGTTGGAGAGAATAATGCCAGTGGGGGTTGGTTGAGCTAGTGCCCAATCAGGCATTGTCCTACCCCATGTCAAGACTTAATCTGCAGCCATATCATCGGCCACTGCATCCTTATCGCTTGTCGGGATTGGCCCCGACGGCTTGCACTGAAATCGCTGTATCGGGCTCCTCCTCTTCATGTCTCGTTAAGGCGGGCATAGACATGCTTGGCCCGACGGCCAGCGAGATAGGGCGACGCTGTGACACGTTGGAGACGTGCAGAGTGACCTGAAGCTGAAGCTTGACGCACTGGCAGTGGCTGGCTACCTAGCTTTTGAGACGGCGACGCTGGGCATTCTCGAACTCAAGACGGCAGCCTACAACTAAGCAAGGTCGCACAATGAATCATTGCGTGGCATGGGAAAGAAGTCTGCGGTGTTGACAACCTGGGCAACGGAAGATAGGCAAGACGATGCGATTGACCCCGCTTATTTTCGCCTCGCGAGGAGCAGCAGCCAAATGTGTGCCGCACAACGAGAGCATTCCTTCATCGCACAACTGGCCCTACGGCAGAACTGCCGCGTGGGATTCACGAGTTGAGATCACAACCACATGTGTACCTTAGATATCGCGACTTTCGAACGCATTCACGCTTGTCATTCACGACGCTGTCTGAGCATGTGGGTCTTCATCCTGAAGTGGATTTCTCATGTCTTCATAATCCTGCAGCTTCCCCATCAGCACAAGCGCCAGTGGTTTAGTGGTAAAATCCATCGTTGCCACCAGCGAGTCTCAACAGCTCCGCGATGTCGATGGGCCCCGCGTTCGATTCGCGGCTGGCGCAATCGTTTGGAGAGGAGAAGCAATCTTTCCCACAATTGAATTCACTTTTGTCCCTGCCCGTCGACCAGTGGCTCAAAATTACATGATGTCTAGAGGACGGACCTGCTTCCTATACATCCCAGATGATAGCTATATCTGGGGAGCCGGTGTTTTTCTACCTCACATACTCGACTGCCGGCCTTACTAGGAACTTCTTTTTTTTTTCCTCAAACCCTCATTCTCTCTTGAACGATATCGCTTCGTAAACGGGGATCGGACTAAGTTCTTTCACACGTATCTCTTCTACCGAAAAGTCGTTTATAGGAAAGTATAAACACCTTATCGTTTCCATCCTAAAGTATGTACCATTTGGTCTCGGATGAAGGCATTAGAATGTGTCTAGGTGCCGGTAGGCGAGACCGTGATTATAATATCTCGTATTGCACCGCCGGGTGCAATGGTGGGATGCGACATCCGCTCTCACTCGGCGTCACGCCGTCAACAATGACGAAGGAACCGCCAGGGGCGAGCCGCTGGGCAAGCTTCTCAATCATCTTCTCCGGATTCTCAACATGGTGTAACGCCGCGGACATGACGACCACGTTGAAGCTGAAGAGATCAGGCTTGTCGAGCTCCTTGGAATCAATCAGCAGATCCCCCCGAGCGGCCCGCATCTGCAACCCAAAGAGGCCTGGCGCTGGGCGGCGGCGTTGTACTACTCTACCATGCCCTCGGAGATATCGATACCACGGAGCATTGAGACGTACGGTGCGTCGGTGCCAAGGCCTTGGGACGGGCTTAGTAAACTGTGCAGCCAAGGTTAAGGGTAAGAGGTTGCTTTGCCCACCGCTGCGTAAGAGCAAAACAATATGCCTACACGTGTTCTCTATCTTCAGATGCTAAAATGTGAACATGACCACTAGTGCGCAGGCGTTGATGATTGTTGTAGAAGCAGTGTCTGTATAGTCAGGGTAGATGCAGAAGGTTCTTCATATCTGTTCCATCCCTTCCACTTGCCGATGTCAAGTCCCGTCACATTTCTGCATATCAGTTGCGTATAGCGCCGTGTAAGTTAGTGGTCGAGATGGAACCTACCAGTCTAACGCCGAGCTATAAATGTCTATTGCCTCCTAACTCCGTACAGATTGCGGCCGCCATGTCGAACAACACACCACACGAAGCGGTAGACGCTGGACTAGAATACCGATATCGTCCGAAAGAAGAAGACGCTCTCGCAAATACGCGACTATCTCATCCGTCCAGCCGCGGGCATGACGTCTCCTAGTTCTCTACTCGCCGACCAGTACTTCCCGGGACAGCGCAACAGTGCTGGCACACTTAGTTGTCATCCTTCCAAGCACCAGGGCTGATATAGATCTTGCCTAGAGGTGGCACCAGCTCCTTGACCTCCTGCACCCAGCACTGCCGCCACAAATCGACGACCGAGTCTAGCATGATCTTATGCACTACCTCATCGTCATCCGGGGTTTTCTCGTCCTCGTCCTCATCCTCATCCTCGTCCTCATCCTCATCCTCGTCC